AACAAACCAAATCTTCAAGGCATTTGAGTTGCTGTCGAGTCATCACTTCTTAATATTAACCACAGTATATAAATATACAAGTAAAAGATCCTAAATTTTCCCCAAACTACTGAATTTGTCGCCTTTCAATAAGACTTAAAGTCTTGATATTTAGGTGTTTCTTTGGATTAAGAAGGAATCACCATAATGTTTATTAACATATTATGCCCCTAAAACAGACATCATAAGCTATCATAAGCACCAGTTTTCAGTCAAAGCATGGGTAACGTTCTCATTGGATATGGGTCTCAAAATTTGGTGGATATTTGGTGTATGGGTTTTTAGTATTATGAAGTAATAAAGAATCCTCAAAAATGTTTATTATAAAAACATATCGTTCCAGGAAAATGGAGACAGCAATTTATTGAAAATCGGAAAAAATGTGAAAATCACAATTTTTCAGTCAAACCATGGGTAAATTTCCCATGGGATTTGGGTCTCAAAATTTGGTGTATGGGTTCCTAGTATTATGAAGTAATAAAGAGTCATCCAAAAATGTTTATTATGAAAAAATAGAAACATTTTATACCTGGAAAAAGGAGATGGCAATTTATCAAAAATAGCAAAAAATCATGAAATAACCGAATTTTTCAGTCGAAGCGTGGGAAAATTTCCCATGGGATTTGGGTCTCAAAATTTGGTGTGCAGGTGTTTTAGGTCATGGACAACAGTAAGTCAAATGAGGAAGATGATCCGAAAGAAAGTTGGTTTTTCGCCATATTTTGGACCACCCTAGTCGGTAAGGGCAGATACTCCAATGGAACTCTTCTAAAGTGCCTTAAAAAGGTTTTATGATGATTATTAATGCCATACCCCTATTTGCAGTGTATTTAAGGTGATATCTGGGAAGAATTGCTGCTGTTAACATGGACAAGGGAGACGCGGCGACTATTAATTTTGTATAGAACTAAACTTTAATTTTGGTAAAACATTACATTTTGAAATGTGTGTAACATTTTCCCGTTTATGAGTTGAACCATGATACTTGGCAAATAAATGTAATTTTGGACAAGCTTTAAAATGATATATGATACATACTATGGGGACATTGGTGTATGTCTGCCTAGGGGGGGGGGGGGGGGGCAATACTTTCGGGACACCCTGTATAATGGCAGTCAATGGGAAGTTTCCCACTTCAAACACCAATATCTTTTGAACTAGGCAAAATCTAGCTTGTAACCCTTCTTATTTTGAAGACATATTTGAGTCATGGTTAGATACTAGGAAGATTGACTTTATTGCTCTTGAACTGTTCTGCAGGGGGTCTTTTGAAGATTGATAAATTAACATGGAGCCCAATGGAAACTCCCTCTGGAAGCCTGTTATTATCCACTGGGGCCACTTTTTGACACCACTTCGGTGGATTTCATAAATGTATGTAATAATGATACTCTGGTCAAAAATGGTGCTGTATATATAGCAAGTGCAATTCAAGAGCTTTATTGTCATAACTGACTGCACTATACAAAGATTTGCAATGTATAGGTTTCAGGGGCGGATCCAGGAACCAACAAGGGGGGGGGCCCAAATTTCAGGTCCGAAAAAAAATGTCCGCGCTTGCGCGGAAAAAAATTTTGGGCCCCCAAAATCCAAAAGTGGGCCCAAATTTTGAAATTTTGAGGCCCATTTTCTTCAAAATTTGGCCTGAAATTAACAAATAAGGCCTTAAAAGGCCCAGTAATGACCAAAAAGGCCCACTTTTTGGGGCCTGAAGGCCTTGTTTGGCCCAAAAAATTTTTTGGGCCCAATTTTTTTTTTCTGGGCCCACCCAAGGGGGGGGGCCCGGGCCCCTGGGCCCCCCCCCCCCTAATCCGCCAGTGGGTTTTATTCAAGTAACTGACTCCACTGAGTGTGTATTCAAATGTTGTGCTTACAAAATGTAGACTCCTATACTACCTTTTGAATGAAAATAAACTCTCCCAAAAGTGATAGGACCTTAGTGCACCCATGCCATCGCAAGGACCTTAGGTTGGCATGCCAAAATGTAAAATCTCTAATAGTAGTCCCATTAAATGTATAGTTCTATAAAATAAATGCTATACACATGAATACTGAATAGATGTCTATTTATAGTTCTATAAAATAAATGCTATTATATACATGAATAGATGTCTCTGCATACAGTGTCTTTGGACTTTGATGGGCCTGATGGGTCAATAAGTACAGTAAGTTGATGGAACAAGTTGACATGGGCAGATCATTTCATTTTCACTGCAGAAAAAGTGCATTTATACACTCCTTAATTTTGAGTGATTCGGCCACTTACTATGGAGCTCTTCATGGGGGAGGAGATAAAACCATGACAAGAAAAAATTCAATGTACCGATTTAATTATTTGTTTGGGTAATAAATCACTTCTGACTTATGCGCAGGCCTTTCTTCCACCATTCAGCGAGCTTGAAGAAACATACACCAAATGCGTTCTAATTAAATATGCGCATGTCATTGGTCAATTCCGGGCTCAACGATGACGTCAGAAGGAATTACCATATATAGAACGTCGGTCAAATTTGGCCGACTAACACTGAATGGCGCGGTGAGTTCACAGGTTTATTTTAGTTTGAAAGAGTGAAGATGAAGCTCTCTTTTAAGAAGTGAAGTCAAACGAATGCAAAGGGTACTGGTGGGTACATAAGACACTGAGCTTTGAAGTAAAGGTGATAATTGAGCATAAATTCGATCTGTTTTTTCTTCAAGACATTGAAAGTTAACATTTCGGCCTATGGCAAAATAATTGTGGTGTGTATTCATTAAAAATCCTTGGAAAACTGAAAACATGGCACCTAAGTTAAATAAAATACAAAGAGAGTTTGGAGGGTCTACTTACTTTTTGACTCCTCAAAGAGAGGATGGTTCGCTTATGACAAGTCATCTACATCAAGTCACTGATGGATCAATTCTCAAAATTAAACAAAATTTGTTTTGGTGCCACTCTTTTGGATTATAACCATTGTGATCAAAACATAAAGGACCAGAAATAAAAATTTCTACAATTCACTTATTTTCTCATCTTCAGAAATACTATTATAAACTTTAATATGTGCCTGTGGAGTGGACTCATAATGATGAGAGTACAAGTGGATTGTTCATTTTCTGTCCCATTGGCTTGCGTGTAAATATCACTTACAAATAATAGTCTTAACATTAAACATACTTCTATATTTTTCTCTTCATAATTCCATTCTTACATGTTAGAAGATTCAATATCAAATGGCTTTGGAATAATCAATGTAGCCTCCTATCTTTCATTTTTAAGTAAAACTAATTCATAATATTAATGTGTACAATCCAATCTATTGAATTTTATGTCATCTGATGACAGTCATTGAAGACAATGGATAAAGACAATGCATCATAAAAAAGCACAAGGCATTAACATGACAAAATGTCACCACCTTGTTGCAATTACAAATTTGTAATGATTCGTTACAGATGCTCAATGCCAAACACCAGTCACAATATGTCACTTAATCTTGGTGGTGATATAAAAAACAGAAGACATTATACAGAAACTTATTTAGATCGAGACGCCATTTCTCTAAAATACAGGTATAGGAGAACAAGAGGACTGACTTAAAGCTGTCTTTGACCACATTTCGTTACCATTATAATATTTTACAGCTAGGCAAGGTGCATCTGGTTCCAGCAAATACAAACACATTATTTCATATAACTGCACTGCATTATATAACCCAAAAAACCACCCAAGGTCACTTGTTGAATGGCTGTCAAGGTGACAACTTTACTCTACAGATTAAAATTGATACTTGTTGACTTGACTTGCAAAAAGTTTCATTGAAAATATCTTCTTCGTAAGAAAATATTTTGCAACGTGTGAAAAGAATTAAAGCCTAAGACTCGATGCATTGTGGCTTTGATTCATTCCACTCAGGCATTGTTTCCTAAACTTAGCACTCAATTCTGTGAATCTTGTGCAAAGGTTGAAACAACACCTTTATGAGGAACGATCAGTTCACAATGCACTGAGTCAAGGGCTTAAATCCCTAGGTAAATCATAATTCACCATATTTCCAAGAACAAGCACCATGGTAATGAAAGTAAACATAATGGACAAAGTACAATAAATACAGTTCACTTGTTTAATTTAGTTGTTCAACAACTGACATTCTTATAAATGGTTTTCTTAAAACTGGACTAAAACAAAACACTGACATTTTACTTACATAATAAAAAAGTTGCATAATAAAACTGCATGACTTAACAAAATAACAAAATGATGGTTGGATGCTAGTTTGCCTAGTGTTGCAAGCTTATAAGAAAATGTATCAAAATATTGATTTTTAATTTCAGAGACCACTTTTTTGTTTCCCTGGAACAAATCCTATATAATTTATGATGAAAATCAACTCATTAAATGCAGTTTGATTTGTTTTTTATCACAACTCCATCTTCTATATCCTAGACACTGTAATGTTGTCGCCTGAACACTTGATGCAGTTTATCACTAGATAATATCACCGATACATTCTCTTGTTGCAAATTAAATTGTTTTTAAAAACAAACAGTATATATATTATAATTTTATAATTAAAATCATTATTTTGATACATTCTTAACTTCTTTAGATACATTTCTATGGAAGAACTTTCATATATGGCTGATAATTATGAATACCCAGGGGGTCATTTTGATCACTATCTCATGTCAAAGTCCCCTCTGCTGTGTTCATTGTTCTCTAGTGTAAAAGTATTATTTACACAAGTAAATATTGACATGAAACTAAATCTTTAATAATGATGTTAATTAGATAGTTAATTAAATGATTTTATACAATACCAAATCGTTTTTCCAAGCTTCAAAATCTACTTCAATGTATAGTCTTCCATTTAGATTTCCAGTATATTCTTCTCCAAGAGGAGATTGAAGTATTTTAGCCGTGTGTAACTTGACTTGAGATTTATGACAACTAGGCCTCTTTATGGCCTGGAACTAGGCCTGTTTATGGCCTAGGGCTGGATGTCACTGTAAGTGTTTGTTCATATGTTGAGATCTACATGGTTTGTACAGTGCTATTTTGTCCCCATGGAAACACCAATCCATGTTAGTAATAATTAGCTGCATTTTCTTCAACCTCCTTAATCAGCTTACAGAACTAGCATTTCATAACTTCAATATAGACTGATGAGATAAATTCATTATTAAGACAGTTTCTAACAGTGCAGCTGAATAGTGCTTTGGGAGTCAATGTGACAGTCCTGCGAGAGTCACTAAGCTAGCACAGTGTGTCATGACATAGCAAGTGTCACTAAGCTAGCACAGTGTGTCATGACATAGCAAGTGTCACTAAGCTAGCACAATGTGTCATGACATTATAGCAAGTGTACTTTAGATAGCACAATGACATCCTAAGAAGTGTCACTAAGATAGTACAATGTGTCATGGCATACTAGCAAATGTCAATAACACAGTACAATTTGTCATGACATCCAAAGTGAGGCTAGCACAGTTAGTGTTTAAATCACGACACAGATGATATGGGATTGTGTGGAGAGCCCATCTGGGTGAGAACTTTATCTAGCCACTGTAGGGGGCCATTAAGGTGTATTTCTACCCAACAGGGGGTACTGGTCACATCTTGCCTGTGATACTCAGCCCCCCAACCTTTCACAAAACTCATACGAATCGTGCACATTTTAGTCAACTCATAGACAGCCTCGAATCCATGGTTCACTGACTGGCTTAGCAGGGCAGCAAACTCTTGATTGTTGAAGATCTTCAGACTGCAGCCAGGGGGGATCTTGCACACTGTGGTTGGGTGGAAGTTGTGATGGTAGTTACAGTTCCGACTCTGCACAAATATACTACTATCACTCAAACACTCAGCGAACACCTCCCCTCCTACATAGTATAAGTGAACGCCTGAAAACAATGAAAGAATGCTATTGTTAAATCCATCATTCACAGCGATTTTCATATTGCATATGAATATATTATTTTTCTAAAGTTCACTAATTTTCTGAAAAGTAGATTTCAAAAAATGGAAATACTTTTATCATCGATCGATGGACGATAAACTGAAATCATGAATGTACTACAATGCAAAACACTTAAACATTCTTGCAAGTTGTACATCTTTATTCATTACATAACAGTATCACAGCAGTATTGTGTGTGGCCTTGTTAACAAATCAATTTTAAAAGGATTGAAAATCTTGAAAATGTTACAATACCACCCAGTAGAAATCACGGGAAATTATGTAAATCTGTACCTTTGCCTATGTGGCGTCGAGTATTCTCAATGGTTGAATTGCGGTTTACATTACTGAGTAGGCCTAGACAGAACCTATCTGCATTATTAGAAGGGTCTGTGAAACCATCCACCACTATGCTAGTGTGCAAGGCATGGAAGGCCTCTCCTACCCTGTTGTTCAACTCGTAGTAGACAACAGAGGCCCAGTATTTAGGTTCCTGGTAAGTGACGGGTTGCACATCTGAAATACATACATTCAGGCTAGTTTTGCATGAAGCTACGTACATTAGGGGGAGGGGGAAGATGTTAATGATGATCTTCAGTTGGGCTTTGGAACTAATTTTACTATTATATGGCTCAAGAAAAATAGAGGGAGAATTCAAAAAGTGTACGGAATTCTAAATTTGTGACCACATAAATTTAGGTTTAGCAATTGATTGAGGAGTTTATCTACTTTAGATGGTGACTATATTGATAAGCCAATTGTACAATGTACATGTTGCTTATAATTTTTTTATGATCTGACTGTTTTGTATATCACATATTGTAGTATTTCATTTCATTTCGAATGTGACACATTTTGTCTCCAGTAAAACTCAGCATAAGATCATATCTGCAAAAAGTCTTATCCCTCAAATAAATGACATTATTATATCATTGCTAGAATTTGTGTCCTTTGATTGGCTGATTCAGTACCATGTGATCAAAAATACCAAAGCGTATTTCACAGCTCCCTTAATTTTGGAATTATAAAAGACGTATTGCCCGGCGTATTGCCCGCCCGGGAATTCTGAATCGTCCCGTTTCGTCCAGTACAGTTATGACGTGCATTAAAATGGCAGACGGAAAAAGATTTAAAAGTCTGAATTCCGATGAAAAGAACGACATCTTGAGGGATGCGCATTCTAAAACCACCATTAAATCAACGGAAAAGGCTTAGAACATTTTCAAGTGTTATCTGGGCGAAAAAGATATCGAAATAGACGTTTAATCTATCGATAAAATCGTTCTTGATGGAATTTTAGAGGATGATTTTTTTCTTGAACTGCGAACTAAGGATGGGGAATATTACAAGAGTGCCAGTCTGCAAAGTATTCGTCATGGACTCAATAGGCACATACAAAGTCTATGCAATGATATAAATATCATCAACGACTCTGAATTCACCAGATCAAAGACAGCTTATGTTGCTATTGAAAGCATTTGAAATCATTGGGAAGGAGACACAAAACACCAGTAATGTTCACAAGTTAAAACAAATATTATTTATTTCTTTGAAATGCATTTATTGATCGTAGCGAATGTCTAGCAATGATATAATAAAACAAATATTTCATTATATGTTCGGGCAATACCTGTTGCACTTTCAATGATTTTTGAAGCATGTATTTCCCTCGCCCTTCGGGCTGCGGGCAATACATGCTGCAAAAATCATTGAAAGATGAACAGGTATTGCCCTCCATAGAATGAAATATTTGCTTAGAAATGTATGAGCTATTTACCTATTCCCAACATATTGCCAACCATCTGGTGTCTCCCAGGTACAGCAGCCCCAGCAACAGGGGGGTGCGATGACCCAGTGTCCATTGGCTGGGGGGCACCATTCTGATTCTGTTGTCTTCTATCAGGGGCTGATGAGTTTGGTTGAGAGTGTGCACTATGTACACTTCCTGGACTGTTGGCCTGCTGGTCCTCTACAGCTTGGTAGGCAGGGGGAGGCGTGCCTGCTAAAAGCATTAACAAATACATTAGATTTTATCTAATACATACAAAATGCATCTTATTGATTTTTTATGAAATATACACAAGCATTAAGTCACATATGACAAGATAGATCGAATAAAGGAATGTTTTAGCAGCGCATATATCATGATTTGATTTATCAAATGAAATTACGGAACAATTGAAACATTGATAAAGTAATTATTAATTGATCATATATCTTTTTTCCCTTTCTGATTTATCAGAGCGTCTCTTAATCTAAAGCTTGTGAAAGAGCTTCCAAGGGATGGCACATACTGTGGATTCCACAATTTATCTTTCCTTATAAACTTTCTTGGCTACTGTACTAACCTGGTGGGCCTCCAAATGGTCCTGGGGGACTGGATGGTCCACAGCTACTACTAGCAGGGCTTTGGGGAAACCCCTGGGGGTAACTGACATTATACGGCATCGATGGCTCATTGTGTTGCTGAAATGGGGCAAGACCACTGTGTCCAGGGATTTCACTGTATCGGGGCACCAGCACAGGTGGCAGCACTGCAAGCAAATGTGACTTAAATATATCAATACTGTAAATGACTATTAATGGTTTAAAAGAAGTACTTGAAATTCTAGTCTGGTTACAAGAGCCCTTGTGTTCCCCCTCTAGCTACAAGTGTTGTCTTGGGGAAATAGCCCAGAGCCTTAAGCAAGACTATTGAAATTCATTTTCTCTTTTATACATTACACGTGTCGCCTGAGCTAATTTCTCATTTTAAGTTGATTTTTTAAAATGAAATAATTAAAATATTGGTGTACTCTAGGATCAGAAATAGAGACTGTGTCAATTATTTCAACAAAACCCATTAAGTTAAACCAGCTTTTTTATCTCTCTTTATCAAACAGTCTGTGCAGTAAAGTAAGGCATTTGTGGTAAAATTTGGTTGATAGGTTTTAGCCCTATAGCAATAGTAAATATTACTAGGTTTTCTGAAACATTAATTGAAGGAAAACATGATATCTTAATTCTTATCTTTGCACTTAAGGTCAGCTGAAAGAAAACTGTCGCCAGAAGTTTTCTTTGTCTAGTGTATAAAATGTCAACATTTCAAAGATTTAATAAGTAAATGTTTGTTCAAAAGGAAGAATAAACATGTTTGACAAGAAACACTATGAAAGTAAATAGAGCAGTCAAGGGATGAAATATATTTATGAGTATGAAATGTACATGTTAAGTATGAAAAATTCAGATGTACGGATTGAATTCACATTTTTATGAAAAAAATTGAAAACGAAAAGTGAAAATGGCCAGCAAGAGCCTTCATGTCTGGATAATAGTCAATGAAACTACAAAGTAGATATAATTGTTTAACATTTGTACATCCCTAAATTGTATGTTGATCTGCAAGGTTAATAAGAACATCCAACATCTGGTTTATATCAACACATAAATGAAGAAAACACTACATAATTTATCTGAGTAAACAGGAAAACTTAATTCACTTCATAGCCTGAGTTAAAATCATGAGTACGGTCCCCAAGATCTTATTCATTGAGCTAGATATTATTTACTAGTACTGAACACTAGATTCTATTCATTGAACACTAGATCTCATTCACTTAACATTCATTCATTAAAAACTAGATCTCATTCATTGAGCATTAGATTTCATTCATTGAACACTAGATCTCATTCATTGAACATTAGATTTCATTCATTGAACACTAGATCTTATTCATTGATAGTGTTCAATAAACACTCATTCCATTCATTGAGCACTAGATCACATTCATTATTATTAAACAATAGATCTCAATTACTGAACAGTGAACACTAGATCTCATCCATTAGATCATTCAATCATTCTATGACCGCTAGATCAGATCTATTACGCTATTAGATCTTATTTACTGAACACCAAATATCATTCATTGTAAATTAGATCTCACACTAGATCTCATTTAAGGTTTGCCACTTATGCTTTTCACTGAAACTAGTTCTTTCATTTATTTGCCACTGAAGATATCCGATATAATATTAAATCTTAGATTCTAATAGTATTAATTTTGCCAGCAAACAGATAATAGCATCAATCAAACATGATGTGAATGAAGAAATTGGCAGTGATATGGGTCAACAAATTAATCAACTGTGCAAAATGAGGAATAACAGGGTTTTAGAGGCAGCTATTTAGATTCTCTGATATTAGTTCTTGCTAAAGTTGTAGAGCAATGTGAAGCTAGCATTATGATAGCTGAACAGCTTGCATGAATTCTAGGCATTGAGACATAAAATCAATGGCACCTAAATTATGGCATATGACTCAGTTGTTAGACTACTAGCTAATGATAAACAGTGCCTGCTCAGAATATCCATTGAAGCTATCTAAAAAACACTTCCATAGTGGCAATGTATTTCCTGCTACTGTGTTCCATATCATTTCACATTCAGAAATGAGTCATTTCTAACACAGTTCAATCTTAATTCACTGCCTAAGCAGAGTGGACAGAGAATGCAGAGGGGGAAATGACCAGTATGCAAATCTTAATAATATTAGGGAGATACACGTTTTAAAAAAATATGAACGTGAATATGTAGAATTATGATCCTCCGGGGATTAGTTCTCCCTAACTAATCCTGGGGGTTTAAACTGTGACTCTCACGTACTCTTAAAACGTGTAACCTCCCTATTGTCTAACTTATTTAAGGAAAATGAATTTAGAGATTCTATAACATCAAACAAGTGAGATTTTGTGTCAATGATTGAGATTCAATTAGAGTGTAATAAGATAAACTGATGAATCGCTAAGTTCTTATTAGAATAAACATATAAAATTGTTATTTATTCAAAATACATATTTGGAAATAAATTGATTTTGATTGAAGGGGGAAGTAAGCATGCTCAACATTTATATACAGATATATATTTCATATTTTTAATATTTTATCAATCAGTTCACTTTTATATTGATAATTCTCTCTTTTGTGACATTATAAAAGATGGGTGTCTATAGACACACTAAATTCAATTTATAATGTTTAAATACCTACTTACTTATTTAAGTTTACAAAGAGTATTAAGTTTATGCAAAATTACTGTTAAAATATTTATATCAATATTGATTAAATAACTTTCATGTAATTAAATTTAAACATGATCAAATGTTTTATTTCATTCTGGACCAAATAAATCTTGGACTAGTGTTAAGCCTTTCTAATCTATAATATTGTCACATACCTGGACTCTCTACTCGTTTATAATGGTATGGATTGATGCAGACTTCTTTCTGTTTTGCTGAGAAGGGAAATTGGCAAACTTCTAGAGGCTTCAATTCATGGTGACTCTGCAAGTCTGGCCACCTCCAAACACGGCAGTATATCACATGTGGCAATCCTTTCCTATGAGACACTTGTAATCGTCCATCCAACGATCGTGGAATTGTTACACATTTAGAGTTCTGTCCTGGTTGGCTTAATGCCTTTTCTAAATCCTCTAATGCACCTTTCTTCTTTTTTAACTTTTTCACTAAAGAGTCTACAGCTTTTTCTGCCCATTTCTCTTCTTCATCTCCTTGTTTCCAACCCAGAAGACGTTTCACCGCAGGGGAAGTGAACGAGAACAGGCTGTTCAGGCTGGAGATTGGCGATGACATTGCCGATGTCATCTGTGGCAGGACCTGCAACATCAGAAAAATGTTTAGAAATCCAATGCTATAAACTCTTTTTACTTATATCGCCTTGTTACTGATTTATAATGCAATATCAATGTTTTTCCATGAGAAGTTGGTTTACTTATCAAAGTGCATGAATCATTACAGGCCAGATCTTCGTCTCCTTCATCTGACCACTACTTCCTACTGACCATGGCAGTTCTACTTGCATAAGACACTGCAACAAACTAATTTGAAACATAAGCTAGTTCCTAGTTTACCAGTTGCTTATTGGAGGTAATTTATGAAACTTACTATGAAGTGTCATGCAATGGTCAAACAATCTATTAGTGATAATTAATTGAATAAACATCTTGGAAATATACTTTATAAATAGCTCAATGGATAACTCAGCAACTAGTGACACTGGCAAACATTTATGTCTAAACAATCCTTGCCAAACATTCAAGTCAACAAAAATGAAACTTGACCTTTCAAGTTAAATGAAACATGTAAAACAGTATATACTGTATATGTAATAGCCATAACGTTTTGAGGAAGAAACTATATTTTTTTGATTTTAGATAAAATCAGCATCAAAAAATTATTTTTACTTTAACTGATTCATTCTAAACATTGCAAGTAGGGCATATATATGCATATAAAATATAATGATATTGGACCAACTATGTTTGAATTATCCTCTGCATGGACGGACAGATGCAGAGAAGTAAAAAACAGATCCATTTGCTAAATTCTAAGGATCTTTTAAAAAATTGTCTTTTATCAATTTTATCAATCCTGCCACTGCCACTGGCTGTCATTTTTCAAACCTTCTTGATGTGCCTCAAATATGTCTAAATATGGTATTACAAGAGATTATCCTTTTAGTCAGGATATTGGGATTATCCTGAGGCGAATATAACATAATCTGGCTTGAGGTCCCAGAGGCAGTTATATTCTTCTGACCGGGGGATAATCCAAAATTGTGAAATAACTGCCTGCTCAGCAAGGATATAAAGCTAAAGCTACATCCTGCCCACTGTTTAAAATATAACATTAAATACAAACCTACTTTATAATATCCATAACAACATGTCAAAGTATGGGATAAATGTATAAATGTTTATCTTGGGGTCATTAACAGAAGTTTCACAAAGTTACGAATTTGTAATTCGTAACTTTATGAACTTCGTAAATATTTAAAAAGTTACGACATCTCTAACCCAGGGCTCTCGCCAGGCTTTTAGACTGTGGCGCGGCACCACACTCTATTTAGCTCCCTTCACACTCTATTGGCAAATCATGACTGTTTCCACAGTCTAAAATTGACTGAATATACAATAATAGCATGTAAAAAGGATAAAACATAAATATGATTTATCACGATTGAACGGTTAATCTGAAGATGTAAGCACCACACCCTAAATATTTTCTGGTGAGAGCCCTGGTAACTTTAATCATTCTTTAACAAATTTCGAATTGTGACATCATCTTACATCATTATTTAGCACAAATAAAAACATAACGTCATGATTTAATATCATTGCGCGCTGTGGTTAAACCTGTCTACCAGATCAGGAACATATCTGCTTATCATGTAAAAATAAGTGGATATTTCTGTTTGAAACTTTGCATGCATATAAAAAACAATTTGTTTTTGACAAACTGTATACTTTACATAAGAAATGAATGAGCAATATGCCGGTCGCAAAGTTATGAAAGGGTCTGATTTGCTATTTGCTATAACTTTGCGAATCGTGAAAAAATGATGTCACATATGCTTTCGTTTGTAACTTTACGAAAGTTCAGTTAATGCACGTTTACCGTAACAGTTGATTTGCAACTTTACGAAAGTTCTGTTAATGACCCCCAGACCTATAAGATTTTTTTTAGATGTATATTATCCAGAGATTATCTTCTATGAAGTTCAGGATATTGGTGATTGTCCCGTGGACAACCTGCCTTAGATACCTCAAACTCATCTAAGTATGAAATAAAAAGAGGATGTCTTATGTCTTATGAAATAAAAAGAGGATGTCTTATGTCTTATGAAATAAAAAGAGGATGTCTTATGAAATAAAAGGAGGATGTCTTATGACTTTTCAGAGATTTCTATCCAAAAGTAGGTATCGACCATATCCAGGAGTGAGTGAAGTTGGGAGATGAAACTTAAGTGACAGTCCAAGAAAGTCAAAGGCTATCATATTCACCTCAATATCTTATATAGATTTCAAAATATTTTTCCCTCATTTTAAATTAGCCCAAATATACCTTCACAGTGAAATCAATTAAAACTGAACAAATGATAACCTCATGTTTACCCTGCGCGCAGAGTCTAAGTTAAAAACTACCCCTGCCTAGTATGGACAAAATTACAGTTTAGCAGCTCCGCCCCAAAGATTGGTACCTGTGACAGCCTAGGTAATAAATAATTTCAAATGAACCACGCTGAACCTTTCTCAACCAATCAGCAAAGTGGAAGGAACACGTGCTAAATACATGCTCATTTACTATGCTAGCTTTATTGGCATAATTCGGAAATCTCCGGACGATTCGTTCTTCTCCGTTAAATCTGCCATTTAAATTCACCTCAGACGATAAAAAAAGACTTGATCTGCACTGAGGCAGCTGTAGTCTTCCATAGTTTCACTGGAAAGGGCTACTGATGTTAGGAACATATGAAAGCCGCTGAATTCATCAGTTTTAAACGTTGTGACTACAAAGTGACCTATATCCTGCAACGAATGAGTTATATCAGATTCAGTCCCCGGGAATCAGTCTCAGCTTTTGAAATACCTTGATAGTTGACAAGTTCTCGCAACCAACATCTGCGTCAAAGAGACACAATGGCTGGATCTACCTCTAGTCTGTTGTTTATACTGTATGAGAAAACTACGTAAATAAGATTTTGTTCAGGACATGAAATACATGATATAGCTAGGTCTAGACTATCTAGATGTAAATATATGCCCAGTTTGGCCCAAGTCTAGGCTAGGATATAAAACTCATTCGATTTTGATTCACCCAAAAAAATAAATGCAAACCGGAAGAAAAATGAAGAGTGAAATTTCACCTACTTGTACGGGTATGGATGCTGAGAAACACTCCAAAAGCAGTAAGAATGGTTTGTGTTATGTCGGGGGCATTGATTTCCTCGAAATTCTGACCATTATCAAGAGTTCAGCGAAAACGCCAAATTTCTCCAGTAAAGAAAGTGGCGACAGTCTGACGGGGACTTCTCACTAACATAGCAAGAAGGTATATTATTCCGCCAAAAGATGATAGAAAAGTCCTTGATTTTAGCCCAAAATAGCCGATTACATGATTCATATATTAATCGACAATGTAAATATTGAATATTTGTTTCCGAATATGAATTATACAAAGAACCTGCATTATTCTACTAGGAATTACCAGTTCTTCTGCCCCAGGAAAAAGTGCTTATGAGAAAAAACTTATGAGTGAAAAGGCTAAGAGAGCACACGATTTGATGACGTCACCTTATTTGGCGACAAGTTGTCGAAGGGATGATATATCATCAAAAGGATCGACTTGTACTTCCTTGGTACTTTATTGGTCGAGATCTGGTGAATAGTATTGAATATGACTTATAGTTGATAGAATGTGGAGCTCATGTTTGGTTTTATTCTGTATTTTTGACACATTTGCAAGAAGCTACAACTTGTTCATTCAACCAGATTTTTCTATCTTTAGATGCTATCTCCCCTATTAAAATATTATAAACTCTTCCACCAGAGTCGTGGGGTCAAATGCGATTCAAGATGGCTGCGCCCATGTAACGTTGTTACACTCTACACTGTTCTACCGTAAAGACATTTTTCGTATTTACAGGTTTGTAGCCTTTTGGTTATGTTCGACATGTTTGACAATTTTTCCTTTTAAAACGTCTTATGTTTATTCCAAGTTCTGACCTTGTGTAAGATATACTGCATTGCTGGCAAAAAAGGGTTTGTATAATTAAAAAGCTAGAAAATTTTTAATATCTAGGCCGGTTGACCAAGGGGTAGATCTCCCTAATATTACCAACTTTCAAAGTTGCACATTTTTCCTACCCCATATCAAGGTGGAGATAGGTAACGCGGCGCAATTTGAGCTGTTCAAAAAACGAGGCTGCTAGGCGATACATAGAGATGGAGACCTTATCTTATCCCGTTCCCGGACTATGGTCCTGTGAACATCTCAATCTTTTGCCTGTGCGATTACAACATGGGAGAATTTTTTACTGATCTTACACTTCAGATACCTACTTCAATAGATTCCTTGGTAATTTAGCATTCTTTTCGTGTAGTTGAATCCACAATTGTCTGGGTTTATCGGCAGAACGAAGACATTTTCGTTTTTGATCGCAATATTTGCGTGTAACATTTAACTTATTTCAACCGTCAAATTCCTCCATATTGGTACTTCCGGGCTACATCCGGGACAGCCAAACGGGGGATTCCCCTTTTAAATCCAACCGCCATTTTGAAAAGTGATGGAATCTCTCTCGATGAAAAAGAGAAAATGTTCCCGTTCTGCCGATATACCCAGACAATCGGCGGTTCCAATATATTAGAAGTTACATCTTGAGTTCTTTAATGCATTGAGGTAGGTATCTTAAGTGTAAGGGGCGTAGATAATTCTCCCAAGTTGTAATCGTACAGGCAAATGAATGCGCTCAGTGCAGGACTATAGTCCGGGAACGGGATAAACCTTATCTGTTGCAAGACCAGTGTGCAAAATATCCCCTCGTCATTCGCCAATGCGAAGCTGAAAAAAAAATAGGTGAAGCAAACTTGAAACCTATCGCCAATTCTGGCTATACGGAATTGGCGATACGAAACGTAATACTGGGATGCCAGCAACGGTAGTAGATACTCTAAATTGCCGGTAGTGACTCGTTCCAACTTAGAACCATTCAAATTGTCTCTCACAATCGAATCGGCAAAGTTTTGACAGATATGGCAACTAGTTGGTGATGTGAATTTCATGTCTGTTTCTATTTCCCTTGACATTCATACTAATTGTAGATGTTCAGTACAGGGACAGATTTGCTGTCTACTTGTTGCCATATTGCAGAAATGACTGTGCCCCGTTTCTGGCGAATTCAATTTTGTAAGCAGATTGTGAGAAAATAAATAAAAGTTTTAATTTTGCCATTGAATGCCAACGTTAAATTTGCTCATGAGTGGCGAAATACTTCCTCAATTGTAATTAGAAGAAAGTTCAAGAAAATAGGACCGGGAAATCATCATTTGTGTTGACTATTTCTTTACACTGGTCAATGCCTGATCAGAGATTTCTATGGATTATTCACCAAATGTGAAGCGTGAGTTTTCTAAAACTTACCTATGTTTCGAGGAAATTGAGGACGAATTGGTCTGTAACACGTTGCAGCCTCGTTTTGAACAGCTACGCATGGCTGTTCCGCGTTACTTATCTCCACCTTGCATATGTATGGGGCTGTTTTTTCAAATCAACTTAGTTGTAAGTTCAATACAATAAGTAATAATAAATATCAGGTTAGAAAAGATCCATGTAGAATTTCATTTCTACATGGATACTGCGCATGCGTCCCGCAATGTGATTGGTCAGAAGGCAGAGCACGGATCATTTTATGAATTTTGTAGTGCTTACATTTGCATTGTTATCTTGTCATAATAGCAAGATTGAGGCTTGTATGTCTGCCAAATCTCAAAGATCATGATAAAGATGTATAATATCCATTTGAAAAACATCAATATTTTTGACGAAAAAAAATCCACACTTGAAGTTTTAAATACTAATCAGTCCTGGCGGTAGGCTCAATTTTTTTGTGTGTCACATGACCCAGTTCAATCAAAAAAGTGGGTCAAACTTGGAAAATGTGAGTCAATTATGAATTATGATAATAAAGCTCATTTTGGAAATCTAGAGTACAAAAATAAATGTGCTGCAATGAGACTTCATGTCTTGTCAAAGTAGAACTAAGCAAATCCAGGCAACCTCCTTTTGTAGCAAAACATTGTTTTTATGATGCAAGTGACTTTTTCCATGATTAAAGTATCGCAATAATGAAACATAAACCAAATCAATGGAAAATGACCAAATAAAAACAAAAATGTAAACCGGAAGTCATCAGTGTATGCGCTTTCAGTCTGATAACTTATTAAGTGGGCAAAGTGTGCATAATTCCCTGGAACTAGGCTTAGTATATCTGGGGATAAAAGTGCGTCAATGATACGCAATGAGTTGAAAATTCTGCGTCAGACTTGATCAAATATGCATAAAAACTGTAAAAAACGGCATTAACGCCAGCTCTGCTAATTATGAAGGAAATTCTGTTCACTGTGTGTGCACCCAACAACTAAGCTTCTACCAAGATTTGTAGTTTTGGTTTTGGAGGGGTACAGAACCTAGCACACATTATTTTTCAAAGTCAAAAATGCCAACCAACCAGCAAAACAAACAATCATTGATACTTAGTTATTTCATTTAAGCAATAAATCAAGCAACTAACTTATACATTGAACATTAATTGACTATGTTTAAATATACATGTGTGCAAATCTTCCAGATTTGTTTACATAATCAATCATAAAAAATCAGTTTGGGTTTTCAAAAGGATTACATTGACAATTAGTCAATGTGTAGCCAGAGACATATGACATTTAAAATTAAATGGCTATATGTGGTACCATGGTGTGTCGGGTATGTCCTAGTATTTTAACGTTGGCTAAAAGCCACATTCGCAATGATTTAAAAAATGCCCTCCTATTCACCTTTCCATAAAGTCAGCTCATGAATATTATAATGAGCCGCTTAAAAATCTGTGACGTCAATGATAGAAACTTTTTCCCGCGAAAAACAAATGCAATTGAGTTTACATGTAAATCCTCGGTTGATTGCTGTAAGTTTTACCTCTTCAAATGTGCAAGTAATCAGCAAATTATTGACGGATTTTTGTTGAACGTCAAATTGACATTTATTTACGCCTTCTAAGCGATTTAAATATTAAATTTCTGTTCATAATGAGTAAATAAGTAAATAAGATAATTACTCCCGGTCAGTTTTCAATCATGATAGGAACTGGATGTGAACAGGTGAAATTATCATAATCATTGGTTCACCAACATTATAACATGTCTCTCATGCAAAAAATATATAGATAGACAATCTATTTTAAGTTAATCTTCAGCGTCATTTGATGAATGATCAAATCAAATTACGAACATTTGCTCTTATTCATTTAATCATTGACTTCACTACTCCCATAATTCAATCAACTTAACACGATTACTTCCTATTTATTTCTGCAAGTCATATAAGATCGTATCTTGAAAATATTATACATGAAAACAACGGGATATAGAATTGATATATTCACGCCCGGTGATCGTGAAAATGGGATGGAGGGGGGAACAAGCAATTTCTGGTAGAAAAATGAACAAATCTGCAAAAATTATTTTTTCAAGAAAAGGTTTATGATTAATGATTATGGTAAAATATGTCACATATTCTACGATTTTTTTTTAGCCGATTCTCTTCTTAGGTATAAGATCTATTAAAAAAGGCGCAAACCACCAACGTGCAAAAGTCAATGTTTTTGCTTTAAATCAAGCATCAACGGTCTACACAACCTGCAATAAATATTTGTAAGTGACATTATCATCATAAAATTAATGACGTTAATGACTTTACAAAATACGTTTCCATGCGTTGTATAAAAAATAATCGAAAATAATTAAAATGGGACGGAGGGGGAGGGGACGGAGGGGGGGGGAGCAAAATGTCTATACGACATGATGAGAGATGTTACTTCACTTTATATCCAAATTTTCCCATTTTCTCCTCAATTACAATGGGTTAGGAATTGATAACAAGTTGTATTCGTAGTTAGATTTATTTAGGATTATCAAAATCTTGGAGGAGAGCGTCTTTTATTTTTTGAAGACTTATCATAAAAATGTAGACATCACATCATATTTCTATTTGGACATGCAAGTTTTCGAGTAAGCAGTTAAGTGTACAATTCATAACCCATGGCTAGATGGCAACCCCAAGTTTTATTTGGTATGTATATTATGATTTTATATCAAAAATTTAAAAAGTTACAGTGGCGTTTTGGCCCACCCTGTATGTATAACCTTGGATTATTTAGTACTAGGGACATGTCTGCATGCTCCCCAGGCGTTTGGAATAAATTTAATTATTGTTGGTGTATCTAAATTGTTGTTGGTGAATCTAAATAATATGTATGCCCGAGTGCCATTGGAAGACATCTACGTGTGAACCAGTCATAAGGAAAACAAACCCAACTATCCCAAACAATAATCAAACATTGAAGGAAACAATGTAACATACCACCACCATTCAAGTTCCATTTTCACTTTCCAGGACCATAGCACCAAGCGACAATCCATGCATATAGAAACTATATTGCTTAGATTTAAAGTTATGTGGTCAATGAAAATATTAACATACATTGACAATGCATTTGTATTTCTTTAAAATAGAGAATCTTGAGCATGCAAAAACATTGATATCAGAACGATTTGAGCCTGTCCCAATGGAAACCGGATGAGATATGGCTTACTGATTTAATAAGCACACAAAACAATTTTCAAATAATTAACAAATGTTTATTTCATTTTCAAAAAATGACTTGTTACGTTTTTATGGTGTAATAGGGGTTGCACCCATGGCATAAATGTGGCACATTCACTGGGAACCTTCCTAGCAGACTATTAAGTGTAAATTCTCTAGTCAGATCGGCTGATGGAACATGTTTTTTTGGCATTGCCAGTTGGCCGAGCAGTCTACAGCGCCAGAATCTCAGCTAGACAAAGATGTCATAACCATCAGGTCGTGAGTTGGCATCCTCCAATCACAGGGCTTCAAAATCCAGAATATCTTCTTTCTTTTTACCCCCTGCTATAACCAAGTTGGACGCACCCGATTAAACTGAATCACGTGATCTAATTATGCGCCGATGACGTATACATGATTGCTGTCGCAGTGTTGCGACAGCCAATCAAATTGCGAGTTCTTAATCGGGGAAATGCTAACTGCTTATAGCAGGGGGAAGAAGGAGGTACGGATTCTGGACACCTGCTTAGGAGGATGTGAGTTGGAGACGCGTGAGCTTCTTGTATTTATTCAATTCTGCATAATTAAAATATATCGCATAATTAATATCAAGTAGATTGTTACTTCGCTGTGAATAACTTACATTTTCGCTGAAACTTACATGTCCAAAGTGTGATGTGCTGTGTATGATATGCCTACAAATTAGCAAGTAAAAACGTTAAGACAGGTAAACATTTATAGATAAACAGTCTCTTGGAATATTTTGCCAACCTTAATTTGACCCCTCTAAAACCTAACAAGTACAACGTGTTATCAATTCTCGACCCTTTGTAATTGAGGAGATAATGGGAAAATCTGCATATAAAGTATCATCTCATATCATATCTTATAGACATATTGCTCCCCCCCTCCGTCCCCTCCCCCCCTCCGTCCCCTCCCCCCCTCCGTCCCATTTTAATTATTTTCGATTATTTTTTATACAACGTATGGAAACATATTTTGTAAAGTCATTTCGTCATTAATTTTATGATGATAATGTCACTTACAAATATTTTTTGCAGGTTGTGTAGACCGTTGATGCTTGATTTAAAGCAAAAACATTGACTTTTGCACGTTGGTGGCGTTGCGCCTTTTTTAATAGATCTTATACCTAAGAAGAGAATCGGCTAAAAAAAATTCGTAGAATACGTGGCATATTTTACCATACCGTGCGCCTATTCGTTTAGCAATTAAATCATAAACCTTTTCTTGAAAAAATAATTTTTGCAGATTTGTTCATTTTTCTACCAGAAATTGCTTGCTCCCCCCTCCGTCCCATTTTCACGATCACCAGGCGTGATATTCCAATTTATATTTTCCGCTGCGTATCTCCCAATCCAAATATTCCCGGGAAAATGTTTTTTATTCAGTGTAGAAACAGTCAATTTGTTAGAATATCTTGCTTAAGCAAAACTGTCAAAATAAATCCAGCAGACCGTAGAATTTTTCTTAACCAAAATGATGATGGATTTCTCGAAAATAATGAGAACGCTTAGAAAACAAACCTGAATATGCAAGGAGTCCTGAAAACTTCACTTGTGAAACCTCACTTGTCATAGGATAAATTAGTTATGTGATGATCGGTTTTGAATAATGATCACTGGAAAGATTTCAAAGAAAGAGCGTATATCTATAATATTTATTGATGATATGTTGACATTGCTGATCGTTATTGACATCGCTGATGGCGAATTAATACCAAAAGGTAACGATATCGTATACATACAATGAACTAATTTCATTTTGTAAATAATAAAGTAATGGTTTAAATGTAGCTTCTTGGATTGAAAATTTGGCTTCAAAGTTATCTTTTTTAATAGCCAATGGACGTTCTCCAAGTTTGGAGGATGAAATGAAGGTTATTTAATTAGGCCCAGTTACGTTTAGCGAGAAACCCGTTGTACGTTTTACTGAAATGGCAACTGGAAAAGTTCCAATTAAAAGAAAGTTAGTTTAGTCATGGGCTTTCATGATCTTGAAAGCCCATGGTTTTAGTTACCATAACATATTCATGCTTTTGAAAATATTTTGTTAATGTGTATTATGGAGATGGGATCGATCCTCAATAACAAAATGTCAAACAAATCTTGTTTCAATTTGATTGGTTTCGTTTGCGCGAATGTCACTCATGGTGAATTTCTGATGGAACTTCTTACTACGACATATAACCATTTAACAGGATATTGTATGACCACTATCAGATAATTTAACCGAGTTGTTTGTAACTTCACAATTTACATTTTTTGTTTACAATCGCACGAGATATGTGAGCCCGGGTATGTTAAGCTGATCTCAGAAGTCTTAATAAACAATAGTTCTGTCAAAAAATGATTAATTGAAATTACATAAGGTTCAGAATGAAAGTGCTCCGTCCATATTTCATATTTGATTAAAAATAATTAGTGCATTTGGCAAATAGAATCCTTTTTATTGTAGTTTATTCAAAATATTCCTATGCTGGCTGTACTAATTCTTCAAAACTTTCAGTCATTGACGTCATTGATTTGACTCATTTGCATACAACCAATCAGCGCGCCGGAAATTATCGATTTTCTTTACTTTGTGGAATTTGTCTTTTGGTGACTAAACGAATGGATATTAGAAAATAGAAAATATTGAAAATCTCTGAGATATATTGGAAGTACGTCATGTAATGTATTTATAATGCATAATAATGTATTTCCAGAGTTTCTCAAGCTGATAACTTGTAGATCATCACTATGGCAAAACTAGAAACCCCATCTCAGCTCCTGCCATTTGAATTGGTTGACAAATGCATTGGCTCCAAGATCCACATCATCATGAAGAATGACATTGAAATAGTTGGCACATTAATGGGCTTTGACGACTTTGTGAATATGGTACTTGAAGATGTGACTGAGTATGAAAGTACACCAGAAGGGAGACGTTTGACAAAACTGGACACTATCTTACTGAATGGAAATAATATAACTATGCTTGTGCCTGGAGGTGACGGCCCAGAGATGGCTGCATAGATAGTTATCTTAACAAAGCCAGAAGCAAAGGAACTTTTTTCAAATATTTTTGTACATATCATAACTTTTAGTAACACTAGTAAATAGCACTTGCACTAGATCTCTTCTTAGATCAGCATATTTCTTCAAAAGAAAACACTTCAGGATCTTCTTCTATCTAAACATTACAAACACAGAGTTAGAATGGAAATCTTCATAGAAGGCACCACTAAAGAAAGCCAGGATATTCCAATCGCATCCAGAATTCTCCTATTTGTACACAAAATAATACAAAGTGAAATTCGGATTCATATGGTTGGAAAGTTCCCACAATCAAATGTGACCTCAACAAAATCGCTACATCTAGTTAGCAACACCCCACAAGCCAATGTCCCAGTTGCTGTAATGTCATGTAAATGGCCTGCTTTAATGTCTATAGATGGCAGCTTTGTTCAGTCAGGGTTATGCTGTGTGTTGAGGACAGTCGTTAAACAGAAACAGAGAGAATATCCTGAGAGTGATGTCATCAAACTATTAGTAAGTGATCAGATTAGCTTTTTGATTGATTGACTTCTCACTGGTCTCACGTCAATGTAACAAAATGGATGAACTTTCTGGTTATGAGAGTTTTTTGTTTTCTTGATTTAAACCTACATACGGAAGTCAAGTTGCAGATGGGAAGGCTTGAAAAGTTCTATGGTAGATCCCATGAGGGACCACAAAACATTCACTTTCAAACTTCTAAAAAGGCAGTGTGTTTTCAAATCCCAAATTTAACTGAAAATACATTGAAGTAATCAGATATGAAAATCATTCAAGATGTTGCGCAGAAACGTCCAAATTCAACAGAAATGGAGGTTGCCTACCTTTTCAAAATTATTGCCTTAATTATGGCTCTATTATATTGTAGGATGAATTTTTAATTTCAGGGCTACAGTGAGAATTGTGTTAAAGCATGTGCTGAGGTATCTCCATGGACACGATTCTGTGAAACAGACCTCCCTGTTGCTATAGAAACAGCGCTTGATCTGACAGATGACGCAGAGATTGGCAATATCAGAATTCCAGATGATCTCTTCAAACTTGAAAACTGCTTTAATGAGCCAGCAATTATTCGGAATATAAACAAACGGAAGCAGCAGATAAAGAAACTGAAAAGCAAAAGTTCTCAAAATAAAATGACACCTCCTAAAATTCTAAATGATATTGACCACATAGCACACAGTGTAAAAGACCTAAATCTAGATGAGGTTGACAGAGGTATTGCAGAGATGGTGGATCCACAGAAAATGGGAGTCCAGAAGGTAGACACCTCATTCAAGGTTGAAAATGTCCCAAGTTTGGAGCACCTTTATGTACAAGGGGCAGATCTCACTATGGCTGACTACATGTTGTTCATATGTGTTCATATGTATCTGGTAAGACTCTTCAATTGACTCAAAATTGAATGTGAAAGTAGTTAGTAAAAGACAGAAATGAGAATGAGCAATCCTTAAACATAAAGAACATTTGAGGAATTCTTTCCTTCTGACCATGTTAATTTATATATACAAAATTATAAGATGAATGAATTTTCAAATAGAACGGTATATCATTTTCTGAAACCTTTTATTTCTTACCATGGTGCATTTTTCAATGTGTGAAGGCTTAGATAAATAGAAAATATGAAATTGAAAATTATTCTATAATTTAGGAGAAACACTATAAACAATGGCAAACATTCCAATCTGTCCTTCCCAATACGTTGCTATGGTATCAAAGAATGGTTACTATGGGAACTACCCAAGAGGCAGCTAATATGATGGGTTTGCAGTTGATTCAGGGGACTCAAAGTTCAGAAGCTTCTACCCCAAAGGTGTTGTTCCAGGCTCCAGAAAATGCTCAAGATTTAAGGATCAGGTATTTTCTCCTAAAATAAAATATATATATAAAATATATATATTCTTATCATTGTACATCAGGCTCTGAAAAGGAGAATTGAATAGAGGAAATACATGTACAGTTGCAATAGCTGCTGATAAAGCTAAATGACTCCAAAAGTAGCTATCATGGTCTTGCACAATATTTTCCAATTTTTATTTTGTCCACATCTGTTCCCGTGTGAGGGTCTCAACCAAACCTTTGAATTTGTATTTTCAGCATTCTGATTGGTTATCAAAGGATTTTATCTAAACCTTGTTTTCTACTTCATACCACTATACTATACTTGTTTGTTTTACTAAGATAATAATGATACAAAAATACAGTTTACAATTTGTATTTTGTGTGTTTTACAGGGATCTGAAAGGGAAATCTAAATCTAAGCTAGCTGCTAATGTTGAGCCAGTTTTACAGAAATTACAGGTGATTAGTACAGTGTTGATACTTCTATCAAATATCTAGTGCATTGGAATCCATTGGAATATTTTTACCATTATTTGTATATGAATGTCACAATGTTTGATCATTTTTGCAGGTTTGTGGTATCAGTCCAGTATATGAATGTCACAATGTTTGATCATTTTTGCAGGTTTGTGGTATCAGTCCAGTATATGAATGTCACAATGTTTGATCATTTTTGCAGGTTTGTGGTATCAGTCCAGTATATGAGGAACATCCAGAGCCAAAGATCAGAGTTGACTGGGACAATCTTCCTAGAGAGGCACATCCCAAGCAAGGTACACATTTCACAGTTCAATGCAGTGTAGTGCAGCGCAATATGTCACATGTTGATAGAGCAACTCAGTATTGTTCCATTCTTTTTGTTAAAATTGTTTAGTTACATGTGTTGTATGGTTATACATGTAATTGTGTTGAATACTCAAAGATTGCAAGAGTTTGTTGGGATCTTTCAAGGTGACCTACCCCCTAAAAGATGGAAGAGAAAATGTGAGCAATTGGAGAACCTTGTACATGCAGTGACATCTATAGCCAAACCTGGCCAGACAATTGTGGACTTCTGCTCTGGAGGGGTATGTTTAACTTTATTTATTTCATTTAGTTTAATTCATAAATATGGGGAAATACTATTCAAATGAAAATAGGATGGGTAATTTTCCAGCTCAGTCAATGAAAAATTGATGAAAGTAAGATCTTGAAAAATTACTGATAGCAGTTTGAAATCATAAGACCTACCAAAAATGATTTTATGGAATGTTTTATGGGAAAAATCAGTATGGTAATTAGCAATTTTTTATAAAAAAAATAAAAATGTAACAGTTCATTTTGTAAAAAGGGTTGGTTGGCAAATCTAAGCTTAACACAGTCCATCCAAACAACTTAAAATTCAGAGACTGTTAAAACTTCATGATGTAGTGTGTTTCAGAGCCACTCGGGCATTGGGTTAGCATTGTGATATTATCTACCTGAATGTAAGGTGATCTTAGTAGAGAATAAAGATGGCTCTATTTATATTTCAGGGCCACCTGGGTATTGTGTTAGCATATTATCTAATTGAATGTAAGGTGATCTTAATAGAAAATAAAGATGGCTCTATTTATATTTCAGGGTCACCTGGGTATTGTGTTAGCATATTATCTACCTGAATGTAAGGTGATCTTAGTAGAGAATAAAGATGGCTCTATTTATATTTCAGGGCCACCTGGGTATTGTGTTAGCATATTATCTACCTGAATGTAAGGTGATCTTAGTAGAGAATAAAGAGGACTCTATTTATATTTCGGGGCCACCTGGGTATTGTGTTAGCATATTATCTACCTGAATGTAAGGTGATCTTAGTAGAGAATAAAGATGGCTCTATTTATATTTCGGGGTCACCTGGGTATTGTGTTAGCATATTATCTACCTGAATGTAAGGTGATCTTAGTAGAGAATAAAGGTGGCTCTATTTATATTTCATGGCCACCTGGGTATTGTGTTAGCATATTATCTACCTGAAAATCTTAGTAGAGAATAAAGATGGCTCTATTTATATTTCAGGGCCACCTGGGTATTGTGTTAGCATATTATCTACCTGAATATAAGGTGATTTTAGTAGAGAATAAAGATGGCTTTATTTATATTTCAGGGTCACCTGGGTATTGTGTTAGCATATTATCTACCTGAATGTAAGGTGATCTTAGTAGAGAATAAAGAGGAATCTCTTCAGAAGGGAATGGCAAGAGTGCAACAACTACAGCTAAACAATGTTTTGGTTTATCAGGTAATCATATTATGTGGAAGTGGAACACCATTACAAGATTGGTCAATAAAAAACATCTGTGTAAAATAAAAATGTATCCATTACTTTTATTGATCACCCCTCGTAGAAGTTGAACACTTATTAGAGTTCCAACACCAACTGACATTAAATGAACCTCTATAAGTGGAACTGGAACACCTCCCAAGTGAAATACTTTTTTAGAGGTAACAAAGGTGTTCCACTTAGACAGGTTTTACTGCATACCCTTCCTTGATTCTTAGGATTTATACTTTTTGATGGTAGTCTGAAGTCTGAACTCCTCATTATTTCAACAAGATAGTTCGATAGAAATGTAGAAAATAAAGGTAAAAGTAGTACAAAAAATAATTGATATATTTGATGCCTTATTTGGGGAACAATGGAACACCACAATGCACATTTTTTGTTTCCAGTGTAATCTGGACTACTTCAGTGGAAGATTTGATATAGGAGTATGTTTGCATGCCTGTGGTGGGGCTACTGACATGTTGCTGCAGCAGTGTCTTACAAACATGGCCTCATTTGTTTTATGCCCTTGTTGCTATGGATCTATACAGCCAGTGCCACCTATTGTCTACCCACAGAGTTTGGTATTTAAGCAAGCAGGGTTGCTCACAGAGGTATGTATGAGGCTGTCATTTTGGTAATATATTTTAAAAATGAAAATATTTGTTGGAGGTCTAGTGGATAATACCATGCCTAATACAGTGTTCTTGTATTTTCAATTAAAGCAATTCAGCCTAAGCTGAATATAAGCTGGTCATAAGTACACCAATATTTAACTTGTTTGTTTTCAAGTCATATGATCACAACTAGTATAAAAGATTGTTAGTGGGCCATTTTCATATTTTAAAGAAAGATGTCTTGTGGTCTAAGTCTAAATTCCTATTGAATCAGTATTAAAAAAAGTTTGATTTACTCTTTTTAAATTTTAAAGATTAAAGCATTATGCCATAGGTTTCTCCCCTAGACAATCAGTGATGTCCTATTGTTATTGCTCATATAATATCTCACATACCATGGGTATATCTTGAGAATAACTTTTTGGTATATTATTGCTGAAATATCGGAAATAATCAACAGAACAACCAAACTCCAGAATTAAACACAATCGATTCCTCAGCTAGCGAGGGAAATCCCCATTGAGTCACACAAGCGCCCACAAGCGCCTTGAACCAGCCAGCCAATCAGGTTAATGATAAACAAATTTAACGACCAATCAGATAACAGGAAGACTTTCCCGGTATATTCAAACTTCAGATTGAATTAATTTCTTCAAAAATAATTAGATTGGCCGGCACAATCGTAAAATTAACACTGAAAGAGGGGGATTTGGGACTTCTTATTTGTTAATTAGATGGGTATATATGTGGTGAAACTCAATATGCAAAAAAGTCCAGAGGGCTCTAGATTGTGCTATCCTATGGCATAGAGCCTCTTTAAAATGAATGAAAACAACAAGCTAAACTACTGAAAATTATGATTGCAGCTTGGAAACAGTTGCTACATTTCACAAAATGTGTCGTTCTAAATTGTATTGTTTTTTGTCTTCAGGATATGATGAAACTTGCCCATGCAGCTGACCAGACTGAACTTAATATAGCTTTGGCAGACCAAGGTGAGTCAGTCATTGTCATCTATTGGTTTAGTTGTAATTGAAGTATAATTGATATCGATAAAACTTTGTCCACCATCTTTGATGATAAACAGATCATGACTGAAAATAGAAATAATGCGAGGTCTTTAGTAATATAAGTAAAGGATTGTTTTCGATATGGCAAACTGAACTCAACATTGTTTTTCTCTCAAACCAATTATTGAAAACTCTCTGTAAAAAAACACTGTCCTTTATGTTGTGGTCACTGATCGAAAACTATTTAATGCAAAAAATATTTATATATATTTTATATTACTTTTGTGAACGATGTTTTGATTTTTAGTGCAATTGTTTTTTGTTTCTTTCTACCAATTCTTGAGAATGAAATAAAAGATCTTTCTGAACCTTGTTCGAATAAAATAGCCTATACAACATTATCTTAGACCTCTCAATATTATAGTTATGCAAAGGAAAGTTTGTTTCGTTTCACAAAATGTATTCGAAAAATTAAAACAAAAACCCCCAAATTAGATAAAAATTTAAGTAAACCTTTTATTTCACTAACAAGATACTTTTTTTAAATGAACCAAACTTTCCTTTGTAAAATTACAATATTGAGAGACCTAAACACATCGTGTATATGTCATTTTGTTCCAATGAGGTTCGGATAGTTCCGAACATATGATACCGAGAACAAAAGAAATGTCTGATGTCTTTTCTAAAACAATATAGAGAAAAGTATATATATTTTTTTGAATTAAATTCTTACCATTCAAAAGATGATTATTAAAATGTCGATGTGTAAAATTTTCAAAATTTTTTGATGACTGGTTTAAGAGAAATATGTGCTCAATTCAGTCCGCCATATCGGTACCCATTCTTTAATAGTAATTTTAAATGTGCAATTAATATCTATAAAATTTGATGTTATTTGAAAAAAAGGTTGAAAAGATTCTGTTATACTTTCAGGTAACCTGTGCATGGCCTTGGTGGACACTGACCGATGTCATCTGGCCAGGGAAAGAGGCTACTCTGTATCTCTGTGTAAATTAGAGCCTGAAACTTGTACCCCAAAGAACAATATGTTGATTGGAACACCTTTAATGAAGGGCTTGTAAACTAGACTACTATATGAACAGTGTGTGTTGATTTGAAAACCTTCAATATATGTTTTGTAAACCAGACACTACGAACAATATGTTTATTGGAACAAGTTATTAAATGCCTTGGAAAACTAGACTCTTAGATAATAAGTTGATTTGGAAACCTTCAATACATATTTTGTAAAACAGACTCTTTAAACAATAAATGCCTTGTAAACTAGACTCTGAACAATGTATGTTGATTTGAAAACATTCAATATATGTTTTGTAAACCAGACTCTTCGAACAATATGTTTATTGGAACAAGTTATTAAATGCCTTGGAAAACTAGACTCTTAGATAATAAGTTGATTTGGAAACCTTCAATACATATTTTGTAAAACAGACTCTTTAAACAATAAATGCCTTGTAAACTAGACTCTGAACAATGTATGTTGATTTGAAAACATTCAATATATGTTTTGTAAACCAGACTCTTCGAACAATATGTTTATTTGAACAGGCTATCAAATGCCTTGAAAACTAGATTCTTGGATAATATGTTGATTTGAAACATTAAATACATGACTCCTCAAACAATATGTTGATTGAAACACATTTAATGCATGGTTGCTTCAAACAATATGTTGATTGAAACACATTTAATGCATGTTTGCTTCAAACAATATGTTGATTGAAACACATTTAACGCATGGTTGCTTCAAACAATATGTTGATTGAAAGACATTTAATGCATGTTTTTGTCCAAACAATATGTTGATTAAAACACATTTAATGCATGGTTGCTTCAAACAATATGTTGATTAAAACACCTTCAATACACGACTTTTAAACTTGAGTAATAATTCACCTGCCAAATTCACCACCTCAATTAATGATAACAAAATCCTCACAAAGCTCACTCCTGATCCCACTTCCGTAAATGAAGTATTCCCTGACACAAATGTTATCACAGATGAACTAGGGCTCTGGGCCAGGCAACTCAATGCACTACACACTAAACGACCATACATGCTTGGGAAAAATGTTAACAGATTTAAATGCTTAAAACCCAAATTCAAACAACTGCATTATCAAATGAGTTTCTCATCAGCAAGGCTAGAGAAAACATGGGACATGCTTAAAACTGCAAAACATTATAAAGGATCTAAGTTTAGGACTTGATGAAGGGATATATAATGTATATAAAGGAGCCTAAGATGCTAGTTTTGAGGCTGCCAGTCTGAAGTAAAAGACTAGCATATAATAAGCAGGTGCATTAAAACACCAACAATTCATTGTTAAAGTTAAGATAAGTATTTAATATAGGTAAAGTAAGTGAAAAAGCTGTTTAGATTGTCATATTTTACAGAAAATATCACATAAAGATGGGTTAACCTGGAACAATGGAGGCTGATTTTAAAAGTTTTTTTTTCTTATTTTTAGCAGAAGTGTTATAGTTACTATGGAAACAAAGTGTGCTGATATCTTGCCCATATTTCAAACTTAAATACAAGAATGTGCAGGGGCACTAGAACTGTCCCCTGGTCGAAAATGGAATTGCAGTTTTTCACCATTTTGAGCAGTTTTCTGGTGCATTGGGGCCAAAATTGTCAAATGTGAATTATATCAGAAAAATTACAGTTACCATGAAAATGAGCTTTTTCACAACTTTCAACCAAAATTCAAGAAAGGGTTAAAGACAGAGGAGCAAATGGTTGTTATACATGTTTAGGAAAGGGGTTAATAGGTGGATATGAAAGTATATATAGTCAGCTTTCAAATGGTACTAAGCCTATCAGTGATGTGTACATTAAAAAGTACCAGCATTAGGTCCTGTTATGCATTTCCTAACCCTGTATGGAGGATAACTCTGGCACCGGATGCCTTTATGGAGAGGTGTCACACCGACCCGAAGTCGACCCGAATCTCGCGTCAGAAGGCTTGGGTCAGTTCACTTCTCACCAATTTCGAGTCAGGTCAAAACGAAAAATTGCTAACTTTTGTCTTGCCTATTTCTTAAATATGTATAAATTATGAATGGGGAATAACTTAGTTCTTCTTGAATGCTTTAATGCTAATTGCAGGGCTGTCAACTTGGGACCACCTAATATGAGTGACTTCAAAATGTTGGACACCTAAGTCCAAATCTGAACACTTTTGTCCAAATTTTGAACACCTTTAGCCAACTTTTAAACACCTTTGGCCAAAGTTTGAGCACCTTTGCCAAACTTTGAACACCTCAAATTTTTCGACCTCGCTACTCTCGCGATGTCGTCAACGGGGGGGGGGGGGGGGGGGGGGGGGGGGGTAGGTACGAAAAATTTCCAATGAACATGCGTGACACATACGGGATTCGCGTGACAAATCCGAACAAATTGCGTTCGGTTTTTTCCGGCGTTCGTATTTTTACCGTATCGTAAACATATTTCGAAAAAATTTCTACAGAAATATTTTTGCGTGACAATTACCAGGTAAAATGCGTATTTTGCGTGACATTTTCTGTCACGCAAAAAAAACTGGCGTGACTTCAAATTCTTCAGCAAATGCGTGACAAATACGCAAATTGCGGGACAGTTGACAGGCCTGTAATTGTCTATCATTTTCCCTTTATCAAAACATGCAAAAACGCATGCTTAAACAGCAAGTCAAATTCTATTTTCTGTTTTCTTCTGACCCGACCTGCACACTTTTTTCCTGGCCCGACCTGACCCGAAAGATATCTGACCTGTGACACCTCTACCTTTTTGCCTTTTCTCCAAACCATCTCAGGGTTCTATCAATGAGCATATAGTTCTGATTTCTAACATTTGAGAAAGGTTTGAATTGTGCATGCTCAGACATAAATTATGTGTGTGTGTGGGGGGGGGGGCTATTCTGTATATTCTAACCCAGGATGGATGATACCCACTCTCAATGCTCTTCTGCCCCACACCTATTTTCCAAATCCCTTAATTAATTTACCAATTTATTGCATACACAACAAAAGATTCTAAAAGATAATGAAATTTGATTGAACACCATGGACATCTATAGGAACACTTTGCATAATTTCCAAGGCTGAATCCCTCTACTGTACCTTCTAGAATATATTGATAGTTGAAAAGTAGAAACATTTGATGAGTATCAGAATGGCTTATACCAACAGTATAAGAGGCATAATCAATCATAGACTATTTTTTGGACGCAGAGAGTATGTTTGTGTGGAGATTGTGATTCGAAACAACTTTATTCCTGAGTCTGAGTCAATTATCGCTGGGATGTAAAGACCTCCTTCGGCAAAACCTTGGCCTACTTTCAATTACGCATGCGCAATGAGTAGCCATTGAAAAAGTGAAAAATAAGTTGCACGATAAATCTCATGTTATTTTTTCCGGATTGTTCCTTTAAACATATAATGGAGTGTTACTTATACATCTAAATGAAATGGATACACAAGTAGATTTAGGAATGATCCATGCTGGCGAGAAAAGGTACGTTTATACCGTATGGTATTTAGATTTATACAAAGTGTATTTTGTTCTGTTGTTTTGTTGAGGAAGATTTCCAGTCCAAGGACATTGTCTGACCATGAAGGTTTTTGACCTTCGATTGAAAAGTTCTAGTTTATACATTATCCTTGATTTGTTTTACATGTGTAGGTACCTTGTCAGGTTCAAATACACTGTTACTGCTCTTCAAATACTGTATTTTTCTTTTCTGAGCATTAGATTGAAGCAAAATCTATAATCCTCTAAATAAGCAATCAAAGAACCATGGTGCTACATGCTGGAAAACATTCATATTTTCGATGATGTTTAGCCTGTACTAAATCATTAATTAACACAACTGTTGCTGCCATGAAATTGTCAGCAAGCTTTTTCAAGATCTCGAAAGCCTTTTAAAGAGTTAATGAGCAATTGATGCTGAATTATTTATTAGATACAGAATCTTGGTTTACATGTAATCTAAAAGGTTATCACATGATTTAGATCTGATTAACATTTTTATATACTTATCTGTCAAGGCATATATCTACAAGGCATTAACATCACAAAATGGCACCACTTTATCGTATGCTACGACCCCACTTACGTTGTGTCCTGGAATTGGATAAGTCACCTAATTGCTCACAATATTATTTGTTCGATCTTAAGTCATGAATTTCTGAGAACTAGTAGATGATTTTGAAAAAATACCTTTTTGACTCTGAGAAGGTCATTGGAGGTGAAATCTCAAATCTAAACTCAGATTTGAACTTCTGAGAACTTGCAGATGATTTTTTTTAAAATGGTCAATTTAAAGCAAGTTGAAAAAAGACCCTTTTGACCTTGAGAAACGTAAGTCATATTGAAGGTCAAATCTATAGTCAGATTTGAACTTAAGAGAACTTCTAGATGATTTTGAAAATAATTGGTCAATTTGAATCAAGCTGAAAAAAGACCTTTTTGATCTTTGTTGGACCTTGAGAAGTTCAAATCTAAAGTCATATTTGAACTTGTGATAACTTGTAGATGATTTTGAAAAATATATTTGGTCAATTTGAAACAAGTTGAAAGAATACCTTTTTTACGTCAGTGGAGGTTAAATCTATACACGCGGTCCTAACTTCGACCGAAGAAAAACGGTGCAATATGAGACTCGCAATCCTTGATTTTCAAGCATCTGGTAGGTCAAAAATTCAAATTAACGGTCAAAGTTAGGACCGCGTGCTATAGTCAGATTTGAAATTTTGAGAACTTTAGATGATTTTGAAAAAATTGCTCAATTTGAAGCAAGTTGTAAAACGACCTTTTTGACTTTGAGAAGGTCAAATCTAAAGTCATATTTGAACTTTTGATAACTTGTAGATGATTTTGAAAAAAAAGATTTGGTCAATTTGAAACATAACAATGACTTGTTGAATTCAATAACACTTTGCTTATTTCTGACTTTGACTGCTGGGACAGGCTCATATTGTTATATTTTATCATAACTCTCTCATATAAGATCCACCTGTCTCAGTTTTATACTCATTTAAGGCACTTTCTGATTTTCAAAGATACAAGAGCTGATTAGGTTTTGTATGCTGGGTTAATTACATAGACTGTCAAAAATCTTGTTGTTTTATAAGATAGAAGATTTATTTGTTTTCAGGCCGATGGATTATGGAAATCTCTCACCGACAGAATCGGGGGAAGGATATGGTGTCAGTAATTCACGCAAGGTTGAGAAAAAGTAAGTGTTCATTTTTGATAAAATCATTGGTTAAAATCAAGCCTAAAGAAGCATCTGGAAATCCTCTGGGAATGGCAGTCTACAGAGGGAATGAAAAAGATATTTAGTATTTAACAAAGTTCTCAGAGATGGCATCCTCCCAATGCAGACATCATCATCCACTTTGTGGAGGGAAGGAACAGACTGGATGATCCCTGCATTCGGAGGATGAGAAATTGCTGATAGGATACTATTTAGAGGATAGTATAAGATGCTAATGTGCAGTAAATACCTCCAAACAAGGTGTATAGACATCAGTTGAAACACTGCCAAGTATATTGATATAAACTTAAAACACAGATATTTCAAATGCCAAAAAAGTCAAGATGCATTCGATTGTGAAATATGTTACCTTTATGTGAGGTATGCCAGGTAAGAAATCTAACTTAATGCCAATGTTCAGCTGGACAATAACCTTTAAACAAAACCTTTAAATGACCACCTTTTATGCATGGTCAAATAAATGATTGGGGGGATTTGTGTTCCAAAAATATAAAGGTACTAGATATTTCTCGTGAATATGTCCCAGAAAATATGAACGGTTGATCAATAATTGTGTTTAGTTATGTTTCTTTTTTCTGTACATAATATTGCGCTGTTAGTTTATGTGCCAAAAAAATAAAAGGCAAACTTAATTTAGATCATACATTTAGGCCAGTTTAATCTAATGAGAATATTGTGGGCATCATTTTCACATTTTCTGATTATTTTACTTCAAGGTTTTGTGGGGATTTTACTCACTCTGACTCAGGCTATGTCCAAGCTGTAGAGAAAGTTGTTTCAGAATATCTTTCCAATAGGGGTTTTCTAATGTCCTTTAAATAATACACCAGAATTAAAGATGTATATGTGACATGACAATACTAGTATGTGGAATTAGTGGTAATATGTATTCAATTTCGGAATATTACTGAGACTTCTTTGTAAAATGAATGAAAATATTAATGATATGTGTAGATGAAAAGATTTATATATTAATACTGTACATGACATACATGGCCTTAAATATAGACATTATAAAACCGCAATGTTAGACACATAGTTTTTGCTAGTGATTAATATATGTATGTTAAGGTCAAGGTGTTTTTTTGCATTAAGCAAATAGAAGCTTTCAGTTTGTTATCTGTTACCGTCATTAATGGCTTAGAAACATACACTTTTTATTACATATTTATTTGAAGTTCATGTGTATGTTATAGTGGTGGGACTCGTGTGAATTATCCTACTCGAGTAGAGGCTCTTGAACACTCGATTTATTCGCGATTAAAATGAATGATTTTGGAAAAAAGTTCAGAAAAACTTTCTTCGGAAAGTTACAAACTTTCACTTCCGGTAGCAATGTTTTCAAGTGTTCTCGGCTCAACCTACCTTGAATAACTCCAACATACCCATCAAATTATTCAAATAGAATAACTCAATACACTTTATATGTTCTTGTTTTGCATTGAAAAGTAAATAATTTAGCAATTTACGCTAATTGGTTTGACCTCGTTAAATATTGCATTGCACATGCGCAACCGGATGTAATCAATAAATAAAAACAAACACGAGAAAGCCTATCGTATTTGATTTATTATTTCAGTTAAGGTATCAAACTACAATGCTATATATTAAGGAAGGCATCATTGTTAAACATTGTACAGAAATGTTGTACATTGGATGTGCTTTTTTTACGTAAATTGCGGTTGAAAGGTGGGTAAATCACATTTTCTTCATCATTTTTTTCATTTTTTTTTCAATTCGAGTCAGAATTTACCAATCGATGAATCGTATTTACAGGGTTTGGCGAGTAGTATTCGAGTCCACGAGTCAATCGTTGCTCCACTAGTATGTTAACTCTTTAATAGTGTGGAACAGTCCACAGGATTAAAGCCACAACCATCTTCAAAATGTGTCTAATGTATCATCATTTAATATCTATATATTATATGGGTGATATGCATTGTATTTTGCAAATATATACAGTAAGTTTGGATAGAATGAGTATTTTAACTTCAAGATTTTCTGATAGTTGTTCAGGTTATCTTTGTGAAATAGATACATCATAATGTGGAAATAAGCTCAGGTTCATGGGATTCTTAATATAGTGCTATTTGCATTTCAGGCTTAATATCACCTATGACCAAACGATGCCATTGTTATATGGCCGATCTGCTTTGTTCCGTTTTATTGAACTTTGGTAGAAAATTCATTGTAGAATGTAGGTTCAAATTGAATATGAGACAAAGCCATTCAACATAAGACTTCAGTACCAATAAAAGGTTTATCACAAAATATGGATTTTTCCACATTTGTTTTTATGTTACTAAACTGATACCTGTTTTCCCTTCCTCTGGCGTGTGCTTTAGTGCATTAATGATTAGGATTCAGGGAGTTGCAACAATGATAATGTTAATCAATATCCAAGGTCTAAGTGCTCAGGACTTAAGGATTTTTTAAGTTGTAGTGCCTCACCAGAGTCTGGAAGCCCAGCAAAATTTTGATTTGATTGTGACAAAATAACACATGTTAAAACCATGGAAATTTAGTTTGAGTAAAAAGTTAGTCAGGTATTGATGAAAATTATGTTTCTGTTTACATAGATATTAATTTTACTATTCAAGGACATAAATTAATGTCATCACACTTCAGTCTGCACCATTAATATAGAAAACATGCTTTCAAGTAACAATCTCTTTATGAGGTGAATGAATATTGAATAGCAAATCTCTGGACTTTACACAGCTTTGTTTTTATCAAATAAAAATCAACTTTTAAAGTAGGCTTGCTGACTTATGGCATGTACAGAATGTTACAAAGTCACGTACTGTATAACAGTAAATTGATGTGGTATGATTGTTAAAAAGATTCAATAAAATTTGAAGCAGAAATAAGAAATTCCGTGTACATATATTGGCAATGTCAAATAGAGTTTTTGTCAAGGTCAATTTGTAACCTTGAATTCATATTCTCCTCTCTCCAAACAAAATCCCCGAGGATGCAAAAACTGCGAATATTAAATCCCATTTATAACAAAATGTCATTTCAATGTATCCTTCATTAGATATCAGTAGATTAAATCCATTTACATGTAGTTGATTAATTACTCATGTGAGTAGGTTGTTATCAGATTCGCCACCAGGTGACTAATTCGGGGGAAATAACATGGCAGGGTATCACAAAGTTCCCTTAAACTTGAATATTCATCAGTTTTAGTGGTTCACTTTTCATATTACCCTTATGTATCTGATAGTTATACAAATTAAAATATGTCTAGTAAAAGAAAATATCTGCCCAACACAAGATGAATTCACTTTTTGTGATTTTACAACATGGGGTCTCTGGGGAATATCCCCGACCAAGAAGTCACATTTTCAAAGAAAATTAAATTTTGTTTATAAACTCTTTTCAAAACCATATTTCTAATGTAGATTCCATTTTAATGAGGTAAATCAAGAATATTTCTACTCGCATATAGACTTAGACATAGATGTAATTGATTAGAGGTGTCACGGATACCCGATTTTGTTCCGATCTGCGGAATTATGCCCTCGGAACGGAATACGGAACACAAATTGAGAATTTTGATTCAGTTCCGGAACATGAGCATTTTTCCCCTTCATAACTTTTGGCCCTTGACTCGCCACAAAACAGCATTTTTCTTTCAATATTTTGTACCAAATGAGGTTCCTTCTTTTCACTCCTTCTCATTGAAGAGTTTTGAAGAGCTTTTCGCTCCCAAATAGACCTAGATGATCAGCTTATTTTAATCTTATGCACGCAGTCACTCTGTTCCGAACTGTTCCGAAATAGTTCCGTTCCGAAACAAAATGTTCTGAACGGAACTGTTCCGATTTTTTTTGTTCCGTGACATCTCTAGTATTGATAGCAAGAAAAAACATTCATATTGATATATTTGCATATATGGTTTCCAATGTTACCTGACTCCATGTATTAGGTGCTTTCTGTTAATGACTGATCTATTTGTCATATTCTAATTAGGTAAGGGAAAATCAAGTGATCTCTTTAATTAAAGAGTGAAGAAGCAAAATCATACTGATAAAAATGGTAAGGGCAATATACTTCATTCTCAAGTACTATATAATAATGTAAACAGATTTCTATACAGATAGGGTCATCGTTTTTTACTGAAATGCTCTCTTATGGTCCCTGCTTATATAAACAAATTACAACAGGACTGGAAAAACAAGATGTTTGTGCTCTTTAGAAGTGGAAGAGGTATTCAATGACATGTTTGTTGTTCAGTTTTAAGAACATAAATAAAATATTATTTCAGATTCAGAAAATCCTCTGTTGCATTGCAAGTTTGTAATGGCACCTGACATGGTATATTATGTTCTCCTTTTTTGACTGATTTTCTTTTCTTTTTACATCTCGGATTACCAAGGTTGAAAATCAAACTTGTAGGGAGAATGGTATAAGCCATGTTCTGGTTTACTACAGAAAGAACAGTAAAAAGTTAGCTCACAATAATAAAACAGCCATAGGCGTAGCGCCCGGTACGCTGGGTACGCACAGGCGTACCAGATGGTTGCAAATTCCCTCCAAATACAACCAAATTTCAAAATTTTCCTGGGGGAGAACCCCCCTAAACGCTGTTTTTTGCTTCGCTCAACTTTTGTTCCCACGGTGGCGTACTACTTAGAAATATAGCGCTACGCCAATGACAGCATGTATATATGTATATTCACTTTCAGCCATTGCTATGCAAAGATAATTTTTCTGATTGGTTTATACCTAAAACCAAAACATATCCAAAATGCTTACATTTTGTAATCAACCTGTAATCTGGAAATCAATGTTTATGAGAAAAAGACAGATAATCTTACTTTGAATTTAAGGAGAATTTACTCAAAATATCAATAGTGACATTTTCAGGATCATTTTAAATCAAGGTAACACTACTACATAAGTTCTATATTATCTAAGACCTCCCCAATTAGAAAGCCTCCATATTTTGT